AGATGCCTATGGTATAATCAGGAGAGAGAGAGAGAGAGAGAGGAAATTATGGATGGTAAAGAAAACGGAGAAGTTTTATGTAGAAAGAAAAAGGAGAAGTTTTATGTAAGGTTGAGGCCCTGAACCATCAAACTCAGGCGAAACTTCAAAAATTCACTGAAAGTTGTTTCGATTTTGAAAAACACTCAGGATCCAATTATCTCGACCTTAAGATACATAGGCGTAAAAAAAAGGGGAAAGCTTTTTATGTTCCCGTTATAACATAGAAGTTCTATCCTCCTTTTTTAATCAACCGTCCATTTTTGGATGATTAAGATTGTCTCAATCGTAATGTCATGTTTCCACATTATTTTATTTTTAATTTTTTTTTATAAACTATTTTGACACCAAATTTTGGATGTTCATTTTTCTGTTAAACTCGTATTAATGAAAAATATAAAAAAATATTTTTTATAAAATAAAATGACAAAAATACCTCTTCACTTCCCTACCTTTCTTGTTATCTTGCCCTAAAAATCGCTATATTTTTTTTTATCTTTAGCCCCAATAGCTATCTTAAACATAATACACAATTTCTTCCCAATCCTCTCTCTTTTTTTCACTAAAAAAAAGAAAAAGGTAAAAGAAGCCAGAGCAATAGGAGTTGCTAGGAAAAAATAATTCTCCCCGGGGCAATGAGTAAAAATAAAGAAAGGTGGAGATGTGAGGAACAGGCATGATGATATATATTCGTAAAAAGTAGTGCTTTGTGATAGGAAAAATTAGCAGGGGTGATTATGAATTTAAATAACTTTGAGAGGTCTATGTGAAATTAGATAAAAACCAATCGCACCGCAATGCACCAGAGAAAAGTAATATCTAAAGGTTGACAGGAGATTATCTAGTTTTTCAAAGGTGAGGTCTAAACGTTAGAAAACTCAAAATATTATTATTTTTTTATAAGAAAATCATTCAGTGATTTTTAAATAGTTCCCAAAATAAAACAAAAAAAAAAAAAAAAAATACTCTGGTGTCTGTTTTCTGCCCGAGGGAGTGGACAGTGGGATGATCTAAAGTGCTTTTTTTAAAGAACGTATTCTTCGTTTTGCAAGCTATATCCTTCATTTCATTTGGCAGTTGCCTCAATTTCCACAAACGATGAACCTTGGCGCCATTCCATTGTATTTAGGGCACGTTTGGTTAGTGCACAAATATTTAAACCGGACAAATATTTACATATGTAAACACTTTGTAGGAAAATATTATGCAAACACACGTTTAATAAACATTGTGTAATGAATTATACGTGTTTGGTAATTTGGTATTGAAATATATTTTGTACGTATATTAAATCTATATATGTAACATTTAATATTATAATTAAAAATATATAGTTATATTGATTTAAATACTATTTAAATATTATGTTTATATTAATTATAAGTTATCATATAGTATATATTGTGTTGTAAATATCCATTACATCAATAAAATATATTATATAAAAACATATATTTGATATAATACAAATTATACATAAATGAAATAAATAATAATATAAAACTAATATATAATGTAGTATATATATTAAATATATTATTTGATATAAATAAAATATTATATAATAAATGTTATATTAAAAATAGTGAATATTTGACTAGTAGATCCGCATGTGAAAATAAAAGCTCAAAGAATGTTTGTTTCGTTTCACCATGCATTAGATTATAGCGTGGTAAAATTTTTTACCATGAGATTTATTTGCATATGCGTTACGCATCGTATTAAACCCAATTTACACATGTTCCCAATCAGCTTCGACTTCGATCTTTTGCAAGTTAGGAGGCATAAGTCCACAAGCCACGAACCTTAGGTTCGTTCATAATTGGAAGCCGTCTCTCTCTCACTCTTAAGATAGCTGTCGACAAATACAGCAGTTAACGGGTCGGCCTTGGGCTCGGCCAGCACGTGTCCCAAGCCCAGCCTACCAAAACAAATGTAGGGTAGGGCTACGGACCGAATTCATGATATATCAAGGTCCGTTCCTGGTCTGGACTCTATTAAATCTGATCAGGTTGGGCCGGGCCCTACTAGTTGTTGTGGACCCACTTAGTTGACCAAATGAGTCAAGTCTGGGTCCATTTTACCTAGAGCCGATTGGGGTCGAGTCTAAGTCCATTTGACTTAGACCTGATTTGGGTGGAGTTTGGGTCCAAGTTCATTTTAAAATTGGTAGGGTAGTCCCTCGGTCAAAGTGGACCCTACGCAACCCAATTAAATATATATCATCATCATCATCATTCCAACTTTATCCCAACAATTTGGGTTCGGCTATGCGAATCCTGTTCTGCCATTCCGTTCTATCAAATGTCATACTATATGGGCGCATATTGATGGTTACAGACAGAACATTAGGTATTCTAAAGCTTAGTTGAAACGTAATGTCGATTTCAATCGCCCATAGGAATTAGGATTGGAGGATAGCTCGGCTGATTGAACAAAAAGAATCAAACATTCAAGATCCAAAATAAAAAGAATTTAACAAATAAACAAGTAAAAATATATGAGCGTGAAATCAATTTAGTGACAATGTGTTTGGGGGATAAATTTTATTTTAAGTGTGTAAAGTTGCAACCTTGAACAATCCGATTAAGGAGTATCTCTAATTTTATCATAACATGTAAGTTTGGTGTAAAAAATTCATAGGATCATCAAAAAATCTATTTTCATATCTAATTATAAAATTTTAAAGTAAAAAACTGATTAAAATCAAGTAGATCTATAAACATATAATTTTTTTGAAAATGGACGATCTAGATAAAGTGTTACAAAATGCATTATTTTTTAGACTCAATTTTTATTTATTTGTTTTACATCTCGATATCGGAATAATCAATTAAAGGGTTCTTCATGCATCTTTAATTCTGCATTCTAAAGTTGCAACCCGATATAAACTTTTTCCTTATTTAAATCCTCTATAGTGATCATTTATCAGTCCTAAGTTAATGAAGCAAAGTAAAGAAAAGCTTCTCGTCCTCCCATCCCAAAAAAAAAAAAAAAAAAAAAAAAGAACCAAGGGATCCTCTTTCTACAATATAAAAGTGACAAGCCCTCTCTAACGGTCAAATTTAAACCCAACGGATATAAAATTTAATTAAAAAACGGAAGCTCCATTCATAAAGCAAATCCCCTTCCGTTACACGATCGCCCTCTCTCTCTCGCCCTCTCTCTCTAACCAGCTAGGTAGCTGGATCGCTCTCGGCAACATACTCTGTAATTTCTTGTTCTTTTAATCTGAGGTTTTCATTTAGATTGGGATAATTGGATTCGCTCTCAAGTGAGTTCTTGTATTCTCTCATTTCTTTCTGTATTTTTCTTGTTTGTTTTTGTGGGTGTTTCTTGTTTTGAGCGCAGGAAGAGAGAGAGAGAAAATGGAGGTCCTGGAGATAGATTGGAAGAACATAGATAGCAGGTTTGTGAGAGATGAGATGTACGAGAGCATAAAGGCCCCGAAATGGGTGGATTTTTTGGAGCCAGATGAATCTGTTGATGATGATGAAGCCTGGTTCTGTCGAGCTGGTGAGGAAATTGCTTCATTTGAAAACTTTGGGCAAACCATTGATTCGTTTTTCTCTTTCTTTTCTTTCTTTCTTTTTGCTGATTGGGTTCAAGAATTTGGGATTTCTCTGTAAATCTCACACAAAACAGTTTTTTTTTTTTTTTTTTCCTTTTTCTTTGGTTTCTTGAAATTGGGCTTTCTGTTGTTGTCATCCAGAACGATTACCCTTTTTTGGGGTCCTGAAATTAGTTTCTTCTACTTCTTCTTCCCCCTCCCTCTCTCTCTCTCTCTCTCTCTCTCTTCTTTTGTTTATTGTTAATTGTCTTCAGGAAATTTCCGTCTTCTGTAAATTTCACCTGAAAACAATTCACTGTGTTTATTTTCTTTGTTTTATCGACAAGATAGTTTCTCTTGTCAAATCTCTCTCTCTCTCTGTGAAAACAATTCATTAAAAAATTCTTTTTGTAAAACCCACTTTTCTTGCTTCTACTTTCTTTCTCCTGAATTAGCTTCATCTCTCTCTCTGAGCTTGATTCTATTTCTTTTTTCCCAATTGGCTTCAAGAATATTGGTTCTTTTTTGTGGATCTTATCCAAAATCAAATTTCTTTTTCTTTGCTACTAATTTCTCTCTCCTGAAATTAGCTTCTCTCTCTCAAGTTTATCCACCAAATTAACTGCTTGATTCTCTTTCTCTCTCTCTCTCATCTGATGTTTCGCTCTTTCTAGCTTGAGACGAAGTTTGGGTCTTATTTTTTTTTTTTTTATGAAATCCATTTTCTGTGTCCCAGATTGCAGGCATCCGAAGAGTCTCAGCGATTTTCAGAGTTCTTCGCCCTTCGACAAGGTAATATATCTAGAGAGAGAGATATATATTTGACTAAAATGTCCATGTCCTTTGTTTATAATGACTGAATAGAGTGAGAGAAGTCCAAATTATTCGAGGACATTTTCGTCATTCATGCATAGACGTGACAATAAAACGCACCTGAAATTTACGTATATTTCAATGTAGAGAAAATATATACCGAAAAACGCCCCAGATTTTGGCAGTTATTTCCCTTATGATTCGTAAAGAACTTCGAAAAACAACACTGTGATGATACCCCTTATTTTCTCGAAAATACAAAACACTCCAAGTTTCTGACCGTTATTTCCCGCAACCTGATTTTTTACACTTCCATGATGACAAAATACACCCCTGACAATTATTTAATGACATCAGTACCCATTGCTTGCCTTTGGAAAATAAAGAAAAAACCAGGACATGATAGGCATTTATTTGAGGGTTTTTGATGTCTGAAAATTTATTTTTTATTTCTAAGTATAGAATTTAAAACTTAATAAATAATATATATCGAACAGATTCAAGGGTTCTTAAAAATTGACGGTTTAAAAATACATTACAAGATGCATTACTTTTAAAAGGTCAAAATTCGTTTTTTTTCATATTTCTTGAGGTTGAGACGATTGATCGGAGGAATTTTTGGGCATCAAAACATGTAATTATTTTTTTGAAAAGCACCATAATTTAATTGCTTAGGGCCTCACCTTTATATATAAACCTTTGCCTTATTTGAGATGAGATGTATAAATGACTAGAATACCCTTAAATAAATTTTTTTTATTTTGCAGGGTAAGCATCTTCGATCCGGAAGCAGCTCGGATCCCATGCCATTTGGAGAGATAAACCCAAGGCATGTTGTAACAAATGCCCTCTTCTTATATCTGTGACCAAAATGCCCTCTTACTCAGAAAAGTAATTTTGAACTATGATAACTATTTATTTATTTTTTTAAAATCTGATTAACATCAATCGATTTTGAATTGTTGTGTAAGAGTGGGTATGGAGTCTTAAGCTTTATTTCAATAATTTGGTCCTAGAGGGTCATTTCCGCCAATTCAATGGTTCCTTTTGGTGGTCCCTTTTTTATGAATTATTTTCATTTTGAATTAAATTATTATTTTCATTTTAAATTAATTTATTTAAAAAATCAATTTCAGGGACGCGAAGCTGAAGAAAAGAGGCCCTGTACCACGCCACAATGACCAATCAGAAAATGAGGAACCCAATTACAAAAGAACCCCCGAAACAAGCGGAAATATCAAAAACACTCCCAGCAAGTACCGGAAAAACAAAACTTTCAGCGAAAAACCTCGCGCAAACGAAATCGCCGCAAAGAACGAAAAGATCACCGAAACTAAGATTCCTCAGCTAAAGAGCACGTTGTCCGCCCGAAATCTCTTCGCTGGCCGAGAAATCCTTCATCAAATATCTGAGTTTTGCTCAGAACTTAAAAAACTCGCTCTCAATCGAAATTCCGGCGAAACATTGTTACATTCCAACAAAAATTCAATGGATTCCAGTGAAAATTCCGCCGAAAAATTGAAAGAAAGCAAGAAAAAGAAAGTTGGATTATTTTCCGGTGAGAATTCAAGCAATTTCAGTGAAAATTCCGGCAAAAAATTGAGCGAAAACAAGAAAGAAAGAGTTGGGTTACTTTCCGATGAAAATTCCTATTCTGGTAAAAATTCCGGCAAGAACTTCACTGAAAGTTTCGGCCATAGTTCTCTAAAAAAAAGTTGCGATGGTGGGTCGAGAGATTTTTCTGGCAAATTTTCCCGTGAGATCTCCTGCCAAAATGCTCTGCAATCTAGTGAGAAGAAGGCTTCAGAAGAGTTGGTTGAATTTCCCGGCAAGTTGGGGTTGCCGGAAAACAATAGAGGAGGAGGAGAGGTTGAGAATAAATGGCGTGGACAGAAGCAGAGGAAGAATTTGAATGGCAGTAGATTATTCAGCCCTGAATCATGGAGGAAAAGGTAACTTCTCTAATTTTCATTGTTTCTTCTGTTTTTATATCTGTTTATTTATAATTTTGTTGATAATCAGATGAACTAAGTTTGAAAATTTATCAGAGCGCACTTGGTTTTTGAGAATATGGAAAAGAGACACTATTTTTTAAACTTATTTGGTTGATAACCGGATGAACTAAGTTTGAAAATTTATCAGAGCATACTTAAGTTTTTTAAAATATGGAAAAGAGACCCTATTTTTGAAACTTAGTTTGGAGAAAAGAAAAAATTATGAAGGAGACATTATTTTTATAAAATATAATTTAGGAGAAAGTAAAAGAGGAAAACTGGTTTTTCGAATACTATTGAGAGGATGAAAACTATAGATTTTGCCCCATTTTCTGAGCTCTAGGCTACTGCAATTTGCCTTTTTTAATAATTGATTGTGATTATCATTATCCTCTGTTCGGTAATTAATGTTTCAAGATTCGGCCGAGACCGGTCCCTGTGTAAAATGACCATAATCTAATTTAGAAATGCTAATTTTTGTTAAAAATGATTTGAAATATATTTTTGAATCGTACATATGGTTTTTACAATGCTTTGGGAAGTTTTCTATCATCATTTTCTAATTTTTATTTTTATTTATTTATATTATTTTTAAGGTATAAATCAAAATTTTGCATAATCCATCTCTTACTTACTTTTTTGAACTTCTATGGACTTCTAATGAATGCGATTACTGGTTTTATGCTTTCCTATTTTTATTTTTAAATGGTCTTTTCTTTTTCTTTTATAAATTTTTTACCTTTTTTTAACTTGTTCACTATAAGCCGAATCCACTAAGACTCGACCGAATTACTCGGCTCAGGCCATAGCTGGCCCAAATCGAGTTAAAAAGCGTTGGTGTGTATTACTGATTTAATTTGCTTGCACGTAAACTTACAGGAACAATGATGAGAATTGCAGAAGTGGGGTTGATAATATTATCAACGGTGATGAAGAGAGCAGCAGCAGCAGCTTATTATTAGTGAAGCCATGCGGAGTACGGTCATGCCCACCAACTCCACAGAAGTTCCCCTCTCCCGCCAAGCTTCGATCTCCTACTCCTCATAATAATAATAGTACCACTTCTCCTCTCAAGCCAATGAGACCACCACGCACGGTATTATTACTCTCAAACCTGTGTGGGTGTTTTAGATTTCATTTTAAATCGGAATAGAATGGTCCACATTGCTTGGTTTTATGCGACCCTCCCCCATTCGTGTGTGTAGGGACTACTTTTAGAAAAAGTTGGTATGGATCTCTAAAAATATTATCATATGGATGTGGGACTTGATTTTTCTATAGATCCGTATCAAATTTAATGGTGATCCTTTGAGATCCTACACATGAGTGGGGAAAAGTCCTATAAGATCATTTCTCAATTTCATTTTACATAAGAATATAAATGGTCCATGCTTGATTTTTTTGCAAACATTTGTGTTTTATATAGGAAAGAGGAATTCTTGGAGAGATTAAGCTGCACAAAAAAGACATACACGACCAAGATAATTTTAGTTTTGCCGAGGAAGCCAAGAGTTTAGCCATGTTTTGGTTCTTGAAGCCATGCACTTATGGGTAAGGTAGTTGCTAGAGGCATTTATTTTTTGAATAATTATTTTATTCAATTATTTTTTTTGCCAAGATGGGGTAGTTGGTAGAGGCATTTATTTTTTGAATAATTATTTTATTCATTTTTTTTTTTTGCCAAGATGGTGGTTGGTAGAGGCCTTTATTTTTTGAATAATTATTTTTTATTCAATTATTTGTTTTGCCAAGATGAGGTAAGTCGAATTATATTTAGTGTTGTGAGAGAAATTTACTACAAATTGACATTTTAATATTGATTTGTGGTGTCATTCGATTTTTTGCCCCTCTTGGAGAACAATTATTTTTTCAATAATATGAAACTATGTAAGTTTTTTGTGTGTGGGGGTGGTTTTCATTCCCTCTTGGAAATAAAATAAAGGCTGATCTCATTCTTTTATATTTTTATTGTTGTGGTGGTTTTCTCTTTTTTATATAAACATGTAAATTATGTTTTGGAATAAAGAGAATTGAGTACATTTCCTCCGTCTGGAGTATATGTAAATGAATGAATGTGGACCAACATGATGGAGATATCCTGAAATGGAAAAAGAAAAAAAGAAGAAAAAAGAAAATCAAGGAATCAGTCAAATAATGAAAAATAAATTATCAAGAAAAACAAAAAGAAAAAACGAATAGCGAGATAAAATGGATTTGTAAGACGTGGTTTTTAAAACCTCGTCTCAATATATTTCCTCGGTCTGAATATAGACCCAACATGAGCGAGATATCCTGTATTCACATATTTATCCCTCTCATGTGATTCACATAAATGGAAAGGAGAAAAAGAAGAAAAAGAAAATGAAAAAAGAAAATCAAGGAGTCAAATAATCAAAAATAAATAAAATAAATGATCAAGGAAAAAAAAAAAGAAAAAACGAATAGCGAGATAAAATGGATTTGTAGAACGTGATTTTTAAAACCTCATCTCATACTTCAACGGGAAATACAGTTCTAGTATAGTAAAACCTACGCGTTGATTATCTCGACCTTGATAATCAAGGATCTCTAAAGCCATGGTAGCATGTGACAGACACTAGTTACCATGTAGTACATTCTTAGACCATCCATTTGAAAAGTTCACAAATACATTAACTGAAAATGAATAAATGTGGACCAACATGATGGAGATATCCTGTAGATCTTGCATATGTATTTTTCCCTCTCATGTGATTCACACAAATGGAAAAAGAGAAAAACAAATAAAAAGAAAAAGAAAATCAAGGGAAAAAAAATAAAAATAAATGATCAAGGACAAAAAAAAGGAAAAACGACTAGCGAGATAAATGAATTTGTAGGACGTGGTTTTTAAAACCTCATCTCAAACTTCATTGGAAAATACAATTCCAGTGTAGATAAACCTACGTATTGTTTATTTCAACCTTGAAATATAAGAAACTCGATTTCAAGCCTGTAAAATGGCAGTATGTGACTGACACTAGTTACCATGCATGTCACAGATAGCACATTCTTAGACCATCCATTTCAAAAGTTCGCAAATTTAATCAATGGATGTGGGCCGAGATATCCCGGAGATTTTATATATATATATAAAAGAGAAAAAAAAAAAAGAAAATCAAGGAGGTCATCGGGAAATACAGTTCCAGTGTAGAAAAATCTTCATCGAGAAATACAGTTCCAATGTCGAAAATCTACATATTGATCCTCTCAACCTCGACAATCAAAGATTTCTTAGAAGCTAGATTTCAAGCCTTTAAAATGACAATATGTGACAAACAACTGGTTACCATGTAGCACATTCTTAGACATTCCATTTAAAAGGTTCACAAATTTACATTAATTGAAAATGAATGAATGTGGACCAACATCAAGGAGATATCTTGTAGATCTTACATAATATATATATATATATATATATATATATAGATAGGGATATTCTAAACTTCACCACCCTTCAAATTACAAAGGTTTAAGATAGAGAGAGAGTTGTGAAGTGTGGATTTATTAATTTTGTTGTTTATTTTTTTAAAAAAAGTTACTTTTGGGGCAAATTTGTAAATATTACTATAAGATAAAAGGTATTTTTGTCATCTCAATAAGAGGTAAAATTGAAATTTTAACTAAAAGACAAATCCTATCTACAAATAAAGTTCCAGGATACTAACTTCCCAAATGCCATTATACTTTTATGAAAATTTTAAATTTGCTCTTGTTTAATGGTAAAATTACCTATTTAAATAATTTTTTAATTAAAAAGTAATGATTGTTTTGATAACAATAACTGATTAAGGAAAAAAACATAAAAAACAAATAGCGAGATAAAATGGATTTGTAGGATGCGGTTTTTAAAACCTCATCTCAAACTTCATCGGGAAATACAATTCTAGTGTAGAAAAACCTATGTATTGATCATCTCGACCTCAACAATCAAAAATCTCTAAGAAACTGGATTTCAAGCCATTAAAATGACATTATGTGTCAGACACTGGTTAACATGTTGCACATTCTTAAGACTATCTATTTCAAAAGTTCATGAATGTAAATAAATGAATGTGGACCAACATGACGGAGATATCCTGTAGATCTTACATGTAGATTTTTTCCTCTCATGTGATTCACACAAATGGAAAAAGAAAAAAATAAATAAAAAGAAAAAGAAAATCAAGGAGTCACATAATGAAAAAAAAAAAAACAAATAAATGATCAAGGAAAAAAAATAAAAAACGAATAGTGAGATAAAATGGATTTGTAAAAACCTCATCTCAAACTTGATCGGGAAATACAGTTCTAGTATAGAAAAACCTATGAAGATATCTAAGAAGCTGGATTTCAAGCCTTTAAAATGGAAGTATATGCCATACACGATAGCGCATTCTTAGACCATCTATTTCAAAAGTTCAAATTTACATTAATTCCAGAGCTTCAAAGTCATTAAAATTGAAGGCCACAGGAATTAGATTTTTTAGGGGTTTCCATAAATCACACCCGATAAAAAAAACCCATACATTTCCCCTTTCTTTTTAATATTTCGAGATAAATGGACAAAATGGGATTTAGTAGAATGGGAAATCCTTTAAAAATTCAAGCATGAGACATAGCACACATACTAGCTTTAGCTTTGATCACATATCCAAAGCCCATTTGGTTCTATGGAAATGGGTATCTTAGGGAGACGCCTTTACCATTTACTTGTGGACATGGTGTCTATGAGTCCACGTAGAAATGAGTCACCTCACAAACATATATGTTTAAGATGGATTTTTGGACTTAATTTTTAAGGTTATGTAATCTGTAACATGAAAATCATGAATATGAAAAATAAATAAATTCAAAAAAAAATATTTGAACCGTTAGTTTCAATTGTTTTTAGATGGACCACCTATTTGCATCCATACTTAAGATGGATGCTTTATACCCTAGGGACCACAAATGTAAGAATGTGGTCCCTACGGCATGAAACAATTTTCCTTTACTTGTACATTGCCAAGCATTTGTGGCACATCATTTTCACCCAAATAGGCTAGTTCGAACTAAAATGGGCATGGACCATAAATTATACCTTCATTATCTAACATAAAATTGTTTCATGCGAGCTGGACCGCATTTCTACAATATGCGGTCCAAAAGTATAAAGCATTCATCTTAAAGATGGATGCAAATAGATCGTCCATCTAAAAACAATTATAATAAAAGATCCAAATGTTTTCTTAATGTAATTATTATTTATAGTTTTTTTTTTAAATTTTTTTTTTTTTTCATAGTCATGATCTTCATGTTAAAGATTATATATTATCTAAAAATTAAGATCAAATCATCAAATTATATTTAAAAAATATTTTTATTGCGAAGCCTGCATTTCTACAACATGCGGATCGACCGCAGAGAAACCGTGCCCTCATCTAACCATAACGGTTTATGCTCCGAGGAGAACCTTAGCATAACTTTGAGATAAACTTTAGGGTTCAGACCTTTTTCACTCTGCTGCCATAAGTGCTCTGTACATGTGGTGATCGTGCCTAGAGTTATTACTCCATGTGAAAGTTAATCCAATTTACAAATAGATCAATTAAATTCTAGTTTTGAATAAATTCATTGAATTTCCTCATGCTTGGGGTAGTTCACACGAACAATTAGATTAGTGAGGCCCTCAACTAAAATAGTAATAACCGTTACCACACCAAAGAATCTCAAGTGAGTCCACTTGAGAGAGCAAATTTAAAGTCCACAGGCCCCCTTCCCTAGAAAGATATGAGAAGTTGAAGTCTTTTATGCAGACAATGCCTTTTATCTTTTGCGAGGCGTTCGTCGCAGTGGCCATAACCAGACACATCATTGACGACTTTTCGGTCAAAAACTAATCTGCAATAAGAGCAAGGTTTTGTTCTTTGGGGTCCGGCGGAGTCTGACAGCCCACATGCTACATAGACTCCAAATCGGGTCGGACGACCTTCCTGCCATCTATATTTGTCTCTCGCTCTTTCATAGTAAACTGAGAACCATAATCTTATTGGGAAAATCATTGGTCATAAAGGCTCTTGGCAAGCTTCATCCTTATCCTTCGCGATGTGTCTCCAATTGTTGAAATCTGTTATTTACGCATCGTCCATCTACTGGTTGCTCTCCTGCTACCTGTCCAGCCGCACTCGCAATATAATTGAAAGAAGCCACTGCAATTTCTTGTGGGTAGGGCGTCAAAAAATAGGGGCTTGCACTTCGTGAGTTGGGAGACTATATGTTAGATTACTAATGAAAGGGGTTTCAGGATTCATCGAGCTCATGACTTTCCCATGGTAGGCATGATAAAGCTAGATTAGAGAATCATTACCAAACCATCCTTGCTCCCGTTTAGATTCTTCAAGTACCAATATTTCTACAACTCATCAATCCGGTCCACGTAGCCTAAGAGCTGCTCACATGCTTGGAGGGGGATAGCCCTGGGACTGAAATGAATGCAATGGAATGTGCGTTGGGTAGTTGGTGATAGCAAGCAAGTTGACTTCTGGGTTAACCCATGGCTATCAGAGAACTCTCAGTGAAGAGAAACTTTAGATTCATCCTCCACAATCCGACTATCCTTCCAAATGACTTCTTCCAATTCTTTTGGAAAGGCACCCATGGTATCTGTCAGAATTGGAATTACGTCCCAAACGCAACCCGAACCTCTGCAACTCAACATTCGCCATCCGAAACATTAAGCACTCTTCCCCTCCCTCATGAGGCCCTTCTCTGAAAATTCATCAACCTCATTCAGTGACTCTTTCAAATAACTATGGGTGGTTCGATGTCAATAGAGATAGTCATAAAGATTTCCATTCATCACGCATATAAGAATCTATGGTATGGCCGCTTTCAGAATGTTAAGATGCTTTGCTATCGTCTATTCTCTCCTGGTCTTATAGTGTTTTCAGGCCAATTCATTTGAGAATCTTTGAAACCACTTCAATCATTTCTATGTCGACAATCGGTATGTCAAAAACTTTCCTAGGGGTTCTTTCCGCCATCTCCTTTTTGAATGACCATGGATTCTAGTTTGTAAAATCAAGTGTAGGGGCACTCCTGCAACCATGGCAAGGGAGCAAAGGAAAAGGTGGGATACATATGCATGTCTGGTATGGCCACTTTTAGAATGCTATTTTCTCTTAGTCTTATAGTGTTTCCGGGCCGATTCATTCGCCGAATCTCTGTAACCTCATCAATCATATCTATGTCCACAGTGGGCATGTCAAGGTGGGAAAGCTGGAGGCCTTTTTTGCATACTAAAAGCAACCTCCGGCCACCTACATTCCGGGCAACTCAAGTGTATGGAGAGAATTGATCAGTCTCTCTCCAAAGAAACACAAAACATTTTCTGAATTAATGTCTAAATTCAATTTTACCATTCAGGGTAATATCTCCTCTATTATAAAAATACAATAATAAATAAATAAAAATATAATAAAAAATAAAATGGTGATAAGGGATGCTTTCCTCTTTTCATTTTAGAATCTTAAGTATCTAACCACCTGATTAAATTTAGACGTAATCTAGTTCACATCTCTCTAGCCTTCCATGTCTCTTGTCCCTCTCTATTCTTTTGCATGTATCTCATCAAATCCCACAAATTTAAAATCTAGGTTCTTTCCAATTTGAAAAGAAATATTTTTTTTTTTAAATACTAAAAAATAAGAATGAAATCCAAGACGTCACATTCACATCTGCACCACTTTTACCTCAAAAGCCCATTACCAATTTGAAAGCAAATATTGAACTAGAAAAATTGTAACCTTATTGCTTAGCAATTAAACAATTTTAATAAAAACCCTGATCACTCCTGGATATTCATCAATTTAGTACTCCAAGTGCTCTCCAATTTAAAAGTAAATGTGGAACTAGGGAAATCACTATTTTCCTAATTAAACAATACCAATAAGTTCCTAATTAGTCAAGAAAGTTCCTTACTATTTTCATGCCTACCCTTGATATTAAGATTTGAAGTCTCAAATAGCAAATTTATGGAAAATGTTCACCATTAGCCTTTCATGAAATAATCGAAAATGATTGGAAGTGCAATTTGAAGCACCCTGATGGGAGATTTTAGATGAAAAATTCATACTCCTCGAATAATGATTGCATCATTATGTTAAGTATAATTGTCAATCAAGAAGTGGGATGAAATGCTAAGGAAAAATCTTTGATTACATCTGGGTTGAAGATTTACGACACCACATGTACCAAAATTATATCACTTATAAATTAAGGAGTTTTTATATTTTTGCTAGTAACTCCACCATGGCCGGTCCCAACCCAGCCATGCCAACCCCAAGTCTGGATAAAGGAGGAGGGTTATTTTAGGTAGGGCATCTAGCATAAAACTTTGCCATATCTTTTCGTGAATCCTCAACTTATTGTTTATCAAAAAATCAATTCGGATTTATGTTAGAGAGGTCAATAATTGAGGCTAGTTTCCTATTTAAACAATTGATTGAGAAGTTTAGGGAGAAGAGAAGAGACCTCTAAATAGTATTTATTGATTTAGTGAAATACGACAGATTATTTAGAGAGTTAATTTGGTGGATGTTGGGAAAAAAAAGAATCTATAGAGGATATATTGATGTGGTGAGAGATATGTATGAGAGAACGCTAGCTAGTATAAAGACAATTAGAGACACATGTGAATTTTCAGTGACAGCACGCATGCATCAGGAGTTATCATTGAGCTCATATCTATTTATTTTGGTTATGGACAAGTTAATTATATATCTACATGATGAGGTACCGAGGTGCATGTTATTCACGGGAGACAATTTTGATTGATGAGACCAGAGGCGGTATCAACACAAAGTTAGGCTTTGGAGTGCCCTAGAATCTAAAGATTTTAAAATTAGCCTGATTAAGACAGAATACATGGAATGCAAGTTTAGTAAAAAATGAACGTAGAAATGAAAAAATAGTTAAGATTGATGACTGTAAAATACTTAAAAAGAGATTATTTCAGGTATCGTGAGTCAATAATTCACGAGAATAGAAAAATTGAAGACTATATGAATTAGAGCTAGGTGGACATAAGAAAAAAAATGGATTTCAGGTTTTGAAATTAGTCAATTTTGTAATGAACCGTCAATTTTTAAGATTTTCAAGTTTTCATATATCTGCTCGACCTACACTATTTTTTAAGCTCTAAATTTTATAATTAAAAATAAAAATATATTTGAAGGCAATCACAGAGAGATTTCCAGTATTGAAACAAAATTTCTCGATACTATTTGAACATGCACTCTACTTTGATTGGTTAGAGCCTCGACTCTATACATACTGCATCCAAAAAAAAAAAACGACGCAAGATGCTCATTTATAAATTTATCTAAAATTTTAAAATTCATTTGGCTTATATTTAAGAGAGTTGTTATTTATAAATAACAATATCTAAGTCCATTAAGAAAGGGTATGATTATGAAGTGCAGCCTTGGAACTGTGAAGATAAAAGACTCCACTGAATAGAAAGATAAAGAAAATATTTCATTGTCTCGCTCTTTTTACCACCATCCTATATTTTTCTATTGCTAACCTTCTCTTTCTCTTTACACCCGATTCCAATAATTTACAACATTAGCTGACCCTCCAAAAAAAAACAGAAACAAATTAAACAATTATAGCCTTTAGAAAAATAAATAAATAAATAAATAAAATAAAATTAGAATAAAAGACATTAAAGGCTTAGACCTTAGCCTGAGCTTGATTGAGGAAAGAAAATAAAATTAGAATAAAAGACATTCAAGGAATGCCACTGCGATTAGCTTGATCCATGGCCATGGCCATGGCCTTAGCCTGAGCTTGACTGAGGCCACTGCCTGAAAGAGTAGGACCCTCGGTGGCCCCGCCTCCGCGCTGGTTGTTGACAGGCTCAAGGTGCTGTCCGTCAGTGCCATAAGCCTGCCTCTTATAATCCTCTAAGTTTGAGTACTTTACATAAGGGCTGCTTTCAAGCGGCAGCTCGTCCATCTGCTGCCCGCCACCATCCATCGCCTGCTGCCCGCCGACGCCGGCATTGGCATGTCCGCTGACCCGATTGGCCATCTGGCCCGATCCCTCCTGCTCATTCCTCCTCACCGACTTGGGTTGCTCTTTGTTGCTCGACATCCTTCACCCTTTGTTTTGGGTCCGGGGTCGTGTCATTTTATATATACACCTTGCTTGACATGCGGCAGTTGGGTGTGGCTCAAGATGGTTTGCAACGTGCCACGCTTTCATTTTGAATGGTTCTTTCGGTGTTGATCCGGGTTATAAGATCTCTTCGACAATACTTTTTCTTTAACAGTAAGATTGAAATGCACAATTCCCGACCAAGACCCACAACCAGTGCAGTGAGGTGCAGTGCAAAGGCCTCATCTCTTTCATGATCCTCAACCATGAAGCCGCCTCGCCTTTCATGATTCAACACGAAGATCGTTACAAGATAGCCAAGAGAGAGAAACACCTTTATTAAAGGGATTCATAATACGAAGTGGACAGAGATGGATAGGAGTTGGAGTTTCAGAAGTAGCGTTGAAGGGGACCCGTTAGAGTTGGAGACAAAAAAGAGCGACTGTAACCGACGTGTCGCTCCATATGGCCGGAAGGAAAATGGAGCAAAACGAATTTTCACCTTTCAAGAAAAAGTTGTATAGAGTCGAGATCCCGTCCACCTTACAACTTCTTATCCTTCCCCTACCATCCAGCTCGTCGATTGTAATCGAGAGATCTTTCATCTTAGATCCGATGTCTCAAAGTATTTTATTTTTAATTTTTTAATGCATATTGTATGAATATGAAATTTAGTACTTCCCATCTTCTCATTGGGGCGGGGCATACCTATAAAAAATATTATACTAATTTTTCAATAAAAATTAATGATCAAAATATCCTTTGAAACTTTTAGAAGTATTTTGGTCATTTTATTTTATTGAAAATATTTTTTTTATTTTTTACCAAATTTAATATCAAAATAGTTTGTAAATAATATAGAAACGTGACATTATGATTGGGACAATCTTAACCCCCCATTCAGAATGGACGGTTGGATAAGAGGGATGATAGAACTTCTATGTTGAAAAGAAAAGAAAAGGAAGCCCTTTTGTCACTTCATACATAGATATTCAGTTGAATAAAAATCGTAGCAAGTAAATTAGCTTTACACTGTTATCATATCCCCAAATTTTGGATGACTACTTCATGGACATTAAGCCTTCTCAACATACATTAACTAGAGTACATTGGGCGTACACAGTCTTAAATCATGAATTTCATATGAAATATCATATTAATATGATAGTTTAATTTTACCTTAGTTATTTTACTATTTTGAGCTTTCTCTAAGACCATACTATTCTCATTCTTAATTAAACTTTTTGATTTCCTATAAGTGGACTCAAATCACATGTAAAGCAAGTGCACTCTACTAATATAGTTAAGATGAGAAGAAATATTTGGGTTTAAATAAAAACAAAACTGTCAAAAAGAAATATCACACTATCTTTATGAATAGGCATAACATGAATTCCACCCATGAACACTAACTAGATTTTCCAATCCTAACGACACTAACTCATCAACAGAAATGGAAACTCAACAACAGAAATGAAGCTTTCCATTTCCAAAACGGACGCTTCTAGATGAGCCGACTATCCTTTTACCATTTTATAAGTGATTGGGATTTGAGGCCGCCCTTATACAGCTCAAGTCCCAAAGCCATTCAGTAGGAAAGAACAACCGCAAAATGGTATGAAATATCCACCTTCAGAAACTCAGTCACTGTCTTTCTCATACAAGAAGGGAATCTTTTCTAAGAAACAGTTGGGGATATCCAAATCCTATGAATAACATGATAGTGTCAATCTCTCTCTCCCCCCCTCTCCAGTCACTTATGTTTTACGAAGATATCAATTGGCTGTTGCCTTGTTCCCCTCAGCCTCGAGTTGCTGCAACTCTATCAGTCTCTGAGCCCAAGCTTTCTCCCTCGCAACGGCTGCCATCTTTCGCTCTTTTCTCTCTGCAAGCTTCTTACGCCTTGCTTCTGCCACCTGAGCTTTGCGTTTCTTGGCTTCAGACTGCCAACCACAATGCACACTTTTAACTGTCTTGGCAAGAATCAAACAACTCGGGCATTTAAACATTAGGAGAGTCAACAAATTTCAATGTGAGGTACATTTGAAGTGTGAACCACATCCAACATTTAGAAAACTAGGCAAGTTCCAGTGAAAAATACTGTTCAAAAGTGTTAAACAAAATTACTTACGCATTCATAGTTGTACCTTCTTTCAACATTTCATAAAATTTTGGTTCCCCTACAACTTCAATTGTTCAAAAGTCTAAGGAGCTCATCATGCAAAAGTTGCGAATTTGAAAATCCCTATGCTCTTTATAGTCAACCTCTTTATAGTCAACAACCTAAAGAAATGATCCACAGATAGATGAAAAACCCAATATAATCATTGACAATGCCCAAAAATTGAATTATGAAAACTCTAAAATATCCTTTCTCATAACCTGCCACACTAACGCAAAAAAGGGAAACAATCTCTTTCACGCATCCATCACCAACTCCAAAACCACTCAATAGCATTTAAGGGCCATTGCAATATTATTTATCTCTTGAGCAGCAATTGTGTCATAAAACATCGTGGTAACATCTACATACAGTAGGTGAGCAACATTTGAAAGAGTAGAATGCTAGGATACCCTTTTTTCGTCATAGAAACTTCATAACGAGAATGAAAACAAAGGGAAGCCATTGAATCTAGGTCATTGATGTTTACGGACTACAGCACGTTTATGATAGGGGATAGGTACCCTATAAATTAATACTCACTACTCCAAATTCAAGGTTGAAAGAGAAAAGTGAAGTTAACGAATATGAAAAAGGTAACAAGAAAAAGGAGTAAATAGGAGTTTAACTAAAGTTTAACTTCTTTGAAAGCGTAATGGAAAGCTTATACAGTAGAACTATCCAGCAAGCGTAATGGCATAGCATATTTGAACTATCCAAACTTCACAAAAAATAAATAAGCGACAGTTAAATCACATTCGGGCATAAAACACCAAATGAAAAGCTTATACAGTAGACGCCAAAGTTAAACTTCTGTGAAACTCTCTTTAATAAAGGCTCCAGCTCCCTAAAAGCCCCACATCCTCCCAAGTATATATAATCACAGTAATCAACCAACTTCCTACAGAAGTAATATAGGACAAACACATGGAAAACCATTAAATAAGATGAATTTTATTCCAGAAAATCAATGAATTAAATGCCAATACTCTATGACAAACCTTCTTTCAGGTTTAATTTGCCAAAAGCTGCAAGATCATGCCAAGAAGTTTTCTAAGATTCCAAGCTCTACACTGCTCTCTTCATTTATTCTACCATTCATATATCCACCATTAACACCAAGAGCTCCATCACTACTTCATCATCTTGAAATATCAAACCCTTATAATGGTTTGGAAGCCACACATCTCTGAATCCAAGGATATAAAGTAAAGGCTACATCAAGTTCTTTGGAGAAAGCAGTGGACATAACCATAAAGAAGTCAAAGAACAGAACCGGATTCTTAAATAAAAACATATAAAGATGATGGAAAGGACCTATTTTAATGGATGAAGGGAGCATCAAAGGATGTATGCATTGAGAATAGTTCTACTCAGCTCAAAACAATCATATTTGGTTTATTAAAAGGTGCTAGAGAAATATCAGAAACAAGCCTTAGAGTAGCCTAAAACAATGGTTGGGGGCAACCATATTACAGTTGAAAACGATAACTGCAAAAACACTAGGTGCGAATAAATCGATTTTAAATTAGATAAATGTAGATGGCCGATGGAGATTTAGGGCTCCTCTGGAAGCCACTTTTTAAATGTGTTGTGACGCTTGTAGGTCATCTTTGTGATGTAAAACAGATGAAGAATATATATATATATATATAAAAAGAACATATTAAAAAATAATAATAATAAACAAATCAAGAAAAAAGAGAAGAGAGAATACCCTCTATGGGTATCTGCATGGGAGTCCACCCAAAAGATTGAGAGATTTGGCCCTCTCTAGGCTGCAATGGGGTCCACCCAAAAAAAGACCTTCGATTTTAAATCAGATAAATGTAGATGGCCGATGGATATTTAAATCAGATAAATGTAGATGGCCAATGGAGATTTAGGGCTCCTCTGGAAGCCATGTGTTGCAACGCTTGTAGGTCATATTTGTGATGTAAAACAGATGAAGAATTTATATATATATATAAAAGAACATATTAAGAAATAATAATAAACAAATCAAGAAAAAAGAGAAGAGAGAATACCCTCTATGGGTATCTGCAAGGGAGTCCACCCTAAAGATTAAGAGATTTGGCCATCTCTATGCAACCGATGACCCAAAACAAATCAATTCTTCTACGCTATCTATATTCTTGTCCAGCACTTAACATATTCAAAGAAAAATAAAAAACATAAATAAATGAACCTAAAAACCTAATGAGCTCCACAAGAAACCCTAATTGTTATTAAATTCTAGCACTCCATATTTTCGAAGTTGAATTCCCAGTTAATGTGTAACTTATAGCAGAAATCCAGGATATCGAGCATTATCTTGATTTCTTTTTCAAGCTCCTTCAAATATTCATTATATTCAATAAAATATTGTCCCAAATGCAATCAGTCAATAAAATCCTCAATGTGGAGCTTACTATGAAACTCAGGGAGATCAACCTTCAAGATCTTGAATATGCTCCATAATTCATGGTTTTTAGCTCAATATTTTCTCATTTTGAATGGAAGCAATGCCCAGAGTCGGTAGTTGAGCCCGATTCAGCCCTAGGTTGAGATTTGATGGGGGATCTACTAGATTGCGAGCACCCTCTTCTCACCAATCAGTACTTTCTAATCATTGATTATTTTCACCAATTTCTCTTCGAATTTTTCCTATCGAAACTTGAAAATCTTTCATTGCTGGATTTAATACTCTTTGGTTTGATGATACACAACCTCCATGATTTGTGGCAATATATCCTTGACTACAAGAGTGGGTTTGAGAGGCATCGTGATGGATCCTATGCTGCTCCGATACCACTTGATGTAAGAAGTCATGGAGGAAAAAAAAAAAAAGCAACAAAAATTGAAAATAAATAAATAAATAAAAAGGTGAGACAATATGCCTACTCTTTGGGAGATTTGGCCCTCTATCTAGGCCGGTAAAGGAGTCCACACCAAAAAATATATTTTCACAAGACCCAAAAATGAATTCCTCTTCTCTATCTACAATCTTGGGCAACATTTACATATTTATAGAGAAAAAACTCTAAATTGCTCTATAAGAGATCCTAATCACTGTTAAATCTTAGTCCTTCACCTTTTCAAGATTAAATTTTCAATTCTACCACTCAATTCTCTACTATAAAAAAAATGACATGAATAACCTAAGAGACTTAAAAAAATAAGAAACTTTAAAAAATAAAAGATAAAATAGCCCTAATTTTAGTATCCTAGAAAGGCATAATAAAATAAAAGAATAAAAAAACCTCAATTATATTACTTTTGAAGTAATGCTAGAACGTGTGTCGGTAGCTCCTTTAAATACCACTTTTTGGCCTCATTTCGGTGTGTGCACTTCAAAAATGCTACAGCTTGATAACTTGCTCTTAATTTCACAAAAAAAAAAATAACTTGTAGACAAATACCAAGAAAGCTCCCTTGCTTGTTTCAACCAAATGTAAATGTATGTAAATGATATGGTAAAATATAGCAGCCTGCTTGATTTTAACACCCATTTCTATACCAAATTCATAAACCCTAAACCCTAAAAGCAATGAATTTACAAGCTAGCCTTGAATGATGTCTTGAGCCAAGAATTTGACACCAGAGATCACCATAAATGAATTCAATTGAGGTACTTCCTATTTTTTGTCCATAACACTGAAAATTAAAACTAACCAGGAATCATGCTCTACAACATTGAGAAAAGGAACCAATCCATCTTCATATGAACAAAAATGCAACCAAACTCATGACCAAATTGAAAAGAAGAAAACATCCATAATACCAACACATCCGTTCTTCTTCCTCTTTTTTTCTTTTTTTTTGGGTCGGGGGGTAGGGGGGGGGGTAAAGTCGTAAAATATCAACATAGGCTAACCTAGTTAATGCATCGTC